CACAGGTATTAGCAGCATTAACAGAACGGATTTCCGGCAGCCTGGTATTGAAGATCACGGAAAGAGAAAACCTTGTATCGGAAGAACAGTACCCGCTGGATATATTGGCCTACGACCAGTGGAACGGCACGGGTGCATTGCCGGAAATGCTGGCTGCCTTCATTACGCCCAATCATCCCGAGATCCCCAAGGTTATCCGCCGGGCATCTGCCATCCTCAACAGCTGGACAGGTAACCCTTCCTTTGATGAATACCAGAGCCGTAACCCGGACAGGGTACGAAAACAAATGGCTGCTATTTATGAAGCCATAGCCGAGCTGCATATTCTATACTGCTCGGTGCCTGCATCTTTTGAAGAACAGGGACAGCGGGTACGCCTGGCCGATACAATCTTTAGCCAGAAGATGGGCAACTGCCTCGACATGTCTTTGCTGTACGCCGCATGCCTGGAAGCAGTAGGCATCCACCCGATCGTCATCATCACCAAGGGGCATGCATTTGCCGGTGCATGGCTGGTAGATGAATCTTTTGCAGACCCGGTCAGTGACGATGCCTCGCTCCTGACCAAACGGACGGCTGCGGGTATAAATGAAATTACCCTCGTAGAAGCTACCTGTATGAATGCCGGAAAATCGGCCAGCTTTGATGATGCCGTTCGCGCTGCCGGTCAGCACATGATTAACAATGCAGACTTCGGGCTTTTTGTTGATGTAAAGCGCGCCCGTTTCGGTCGTATCCGTCCGCTGCCGCTACGTATAGCCACGGCAACCGGTTTTGAGATTATAGAAGATAGCCCGGCTACAGAGCGGGGCGCAACAGCGCCGCTGACTTTGGGAGCAACATTTGTGGCCACGGATGCCACTTCCGGCCCTGCGGGCAAGCAGCAGCTTTGGGAGCGTAAGCTGCTCGACCTGACGCTGCGTAACAACCTGCTGAACCTTCGCGTCACCAAAGGCACCCTTCAATTTATCAGCATTAATCCTGCAAAGCTGGAAGATGCATTATCCGGTGGCGCGGAATTTCAGAT